AAATATGGTGGACTTAATACTGAAATAATACTCGTCGCACTTTGCTGCTCACACGAGTTTCCGTACACCTACATACTCTTTTCTTTCAACCCACTTTGTATACACAATTGACGCTAAACCATCTCGCCAGCGAGTGAAGTGATTTTTGCCGAAAAAATTCATCGCTGCAACGTTTGAAAATCTCGAGGAGGACAGCTGACGCGGTGGACGGATTGCTGTCGAGCGAAAATAAAGCTCCGGCCAAACTCAAAGCAACGCTTACTTATATCCCGCTGCAAATTCAACAAAACTCGTGACCGCGAAATCCGTGAAAGGACTCGCGTTTGCAAAACTTGTGTGGAAACAAAGGTGCGTATATAGACAAATAAATATTGATGCCTCGGAGCACCAGAAAAGGCAAATGACTCGCTAAACTTGTACACTCGTCACACTCACTCGATACTTATAAATATATTTCATATTTATATATAATTATATTCGTGATGCGTAATATATGTATTTATATAGATCCATTTTATAAAAGTAACATCACGTCAACACACAATATTGTAATGTAATGTAATAAAGTCGTATATCTTTTTATTTATTTTTTTTATTTTTTATTTTTCCTCGTTTTGGCACGTCTAGTTTTCACTCTCTGCAACTATGGTACGCATACAGGATCTCAATCGCGATTTACACGTATAGATGCGCGTCAAGAGTTATACACACGATGAATACGTATTATTATGCATATACAAGATTTATTATAGAAATGGACGAAAAGGATCGTACGAACGCGCGAGTAATTCGTTTACTTCCAGTATTGTATATATATATATAGAGCGCGCGGTGGCTCAGTCGGCTAGGTCGTGGATTGGCACGCGGGAGACCGTGGTGCAGTTCCCGGCCAGTGCGACTTTTTCGGGCAAGTACCTCTGTGATTTTTCTCATGTGCTTTTTCACCACGCAATGCTCCTCGAGGAGGGTTTTGGCGACCTCCTCGCAGCATCATTGCCTAATTTCCCTCTACCTCCCCTCCCAGTAATGGGAGGCCTCCCATCCCTCTTCCCTTCCTTCTCCCAAGTGCTAAGTGCCCATAGTAGTGTCTTTATTAAAGGAGCCGGACGTAGAGCACTCTAATAAAAAAAAATATATATATATGTATGTATGAGCGCGCGGTGGCTCAGTCGGCTAGGTCGTGGATTGAGACGCGGGAGACCGTGGTTCAATTCCCGGCCATAGTACGACTTTTTCGGGCAAGTACGTCTGTGATTTTTCACATGTGCTTTTTCACCACGCAATGCTCCTCGAGGAGGGTTTAGGCAACCTTCTCGCAGCAAAAATTGCCTAATTTCCCCCTACCCCCCTCCCAGTAATGGGAGGAGTGACGGGAAATTC